GTCTAAATGATTAGCTGTCATTCATTGTTGCTCCAAATACAGTTCACTTCCAGGTCTAATCTGCGATGCATCAGAGGTTATCTCATCCACTTATAGAACACCTGTGAGAGAATTACAATCAGCCTCCCCCATATGTWATTAAATGGAAATAATTAGTTTCATTCTCTTTGTCATCTTTTTATTTCACCATTGTGTGCAAGGGGTGCTCAAGCCTACACACGTGCACATTTTTCTGTCGCTTTCTTTTCTGTTCYCCATTAACCACGCCAAGTAATCTCTCTTTTGTTTTCCTTTTGTTGCCATCTTCTTCCTTTTATCAAAAAAAAGTAAGTGGGTTCTCCTGCTTAATGTGGTTGTCTGTATTGTGTGGTGTGTGTGTTGTAGGTAAGTGTGTTGCTGCCATCATCAGGCAGAAAAAATAAACTGCACCTTTAAAGTCKAGATAAAATTTACTCTCACAGGACAAAACTTACTGTATGTTGTTTATGGATATATACCAAAAGTAGCTTGGAGTTTCAAAAATCCCAGATATTTCCACAGCCTACACTCACTTTCAACTGTATTCTTTTTTCCCTTCAGTCTTGTTTAAATCCCTCTTTTCCTCTTCTCTATGCATCATCAAGGTTGACTTCCAGCTTTTTGTCTTTCTGTTTGTTGCTTTGAAAGCAAACTTAATCTCCTCCTCCCTCTGTTAGCTCAAGCAAAGCGAAGCCAATGCTGACACCAAAGAGAAACTCCCTTTACGGCTCAGGATCTTTGAGAAGTTCCCCAACAGACCTCAGATGGTAAAGATCTCCAAGCTCCCATCCGATTTCACTGTGCCCAGAATCAGGTATTGCATGCAATTATAGACTGCAGTGCTTGTTTAATTTGTTGCTGTTACACACATTTTTTTAATACAGTATTAATATGAATTAATTTAGACTGTTGTTTGAAAGTATTTTTTTTCCTCTGGCACAAACTAAGGGAGGCATTTTTTTAAGTTAAATTATGATGTAATAATTTCCTGCACTTTTTTATGAATAGGTTGTTACAATTATCTTAACCACCCCTTTTGACCCCTGACCCCTGTCTTTAGGTGTTGTCCTCATTAGCTTTATACACGCAGGGGTGCATCCTCTGCTTAAAAAAAACCTAGCCTTGACCAAACTGTCGTGGCTAATTTTAGGCCCATATCCAAGCTGCCTTTTATTTCTAAAATCTTGGAAAAAGTGTCTATTCCCAGATCAATCATGGAGGTTTTTCAGTCTGACATTAAAACTAGGCACATCACAGAACCTGCTCTAGTAAGAGTTTTTAATGACATTCTTATGGCTAATGAGTTTGGTGAATATGTAGTTCTTGTCCAATTGCTGCTTTTGATACAGTGGACCACAACTTTTTGATTTTATGTCTAAAGCACCAAGTAGGTATCTGTGGTACCATGCTAAACTGATTTATATAATATTTGTCTGACAGAACCATGTGCAATAATGTGGCTGGTTCTGAATCCTGCACAGCTTCTCTGTCTTTTGGGGTCCCACAGGGTTCTATCTTAGGCCCCCTGTTTTTTTTTTTTATCTTTACCTGCTTTCTTTAGGTTCTTTACTCAGGAAGCATGGGATTTTTTTTTTCATTGTTATGCTGAAGATATTCAGATACATATACAACTGAGAAAGAAAGATGCCCTCTCAATTAGGCCACTTCTATTTTGTCTCAAAGACATCAAATCCTGGATGTCTTTATTTTTTTGTTTTTTTTTAATGAGAGAAAAAGTTTGGTCCTGTTGACTCTTGTGAACCTTCCCCTGTTGATCTGGGTCCCCTGACACTGCATGTAAAGCAGAGTTTGTAACTTTTAAAATGGACAGTGATTTTAAATGAGATTCCCAGATTGTAGTGGTAGTCAAGGCCAGTTTTTATCATCTCAGGCAGCTGGCAAAGGTAAAACCATTTCTTTCTAAACATTTCCAAACAATAATCCATGCATTTGTTACATCGCAGCTTGATTACTTGAAACAAAAACATATTCAAAATCTGACTCCAACAATGTCTGTGTCATGCACGCTGCTCAAAATGATCTAGTGGCCACGTGTTATCGCCACAATAATCTTTTTATTTATTTATTTTTATTCAACGTCACACGGGCACTGTACAA